GTGGCCGGACTGAACGACGGAACCGGAAAGAAGGAGGAACCGGACGAAGGAATGGACCGGAATGAACGGAACCGCCGGAGTGGACGGAGGAAGGACCGGACGGAACGACGACGAACCGGTGGAATCCCGGACCGGAGGAGAAGGAGAGGCTGACTGGAATGACGACGGAACCGAGGTAACCCGGAGGAGGTAGACCCACGGAGGCCGGACTGAACGGACCCGAGGAGAATAGGACCCAGGACTGAAAGAAATGGAACCGTGGACGGTGGAACCGGAGGAAAAGGAAGAAGAGGCTGACTGAACGACGGAACGGAGGTGGAACCGGTGGACAGAGGATGGAAAAAGAAGCCGACGGAATGGACGGAACCGTGGAGGTGGAACGGATGGGGACAGGAGGCCCGACCGGAACGACGAAACCGGAGAGAGGTGGAACGGAGGACCAAGAGAGAAGGACTGAACCTGGACGGAAGGATCCCGGAACCCAGGAGGCCGGAGGACGGACGGAACGGAGGGAACCGGAGGATAGAGCCGGACGGAACGGACGGACGACGGAACCGTGGAGAGAACGGACGGAACGACGGAGGAGGGAATCCGGACTGGATCAGAGAGGCCGACCGGAACGAGTCGAGGAACGGAAAGGAGAACGACGAAGGGACGGAGGAGAAGGAGGCCGGACGGAACGACGGAACCGAAGTGGAGGTGAACCCGGAGAATGGAGGAAGAAGGAGGCCGGACGGAACGGACGAAACCGGAGTGGAGGTGGAACGGAGAATGGAGGGACCGGAAAGGAAGGACGACTGAACGACGGAACCGGAGGTAACCCGGAAGAGAAGGAGGCCGACTGAACGACGAACCGAGTGAACCCGGAGGGGACCGAAGGAACGACCGGACGGAACGACGAACCGGAGGTGGACGACGGACCAAGGACCGAGGATGGGACGAACGACGGAACGGAACGGAGAACGAGACGGAAACGGATAACCGGAGAGGCAAGGATTGGACTGAACGAAACGGAGGAGGTGGAACGGAGGACGGAGGGACGAGGAGGCTGGAACGGAACCGGAGGTGGAACGGAACGGAGGATGGAAGAACGAGAAGGAGACGGAACGACGGAACGGACGAACCGGAGGAGGGAACGGAGAACCGAAGGAGAGGAACGGACGGAACGACGGAACGGATGAACAGGAGAGAGACGGATTGAACGGAACCGAGGAGGACAGGACGGAGGAAGAGTGAAGAGGCTGGACTGGAAGGATGGAACGGAACCGGACCAGGAAACGGAGGACTGAAGTGAAGGGACGGAACGAACGGAGGAATGGAGGACGGAGGAAGGAAGGAGAGGCTGGAATGATGGACCGGAATGGATGGAACGGAGGAAGGAGGACGGGACCATGGAACGGAGAAGGAATGGAGATTGGAGGTGGATAAACGGGAGGATCGAAGGAGAAACCGGAGTGGACCAGGAGACTGACTGAATGAACCGGAGGAGGTGGAGGTAACGGAGGATAGAGGAGAGAAGAGAGGAGGATTGATTGAATGAACCGGAGTGGAGGAACGGATGGACGGAGGACACAGGAGAGAAGGAGAGAAGACCGGAGGCTGGACTGGAATGGATGAAACGGAGGAGGATGGAGGAAGAGAGAAGGAGAAGGGCTGGATGGAATGGATGGAAACGGAGTGGAGGAACGGAGAGATAGAGGACCGGGAGAGAAAGAGAGGCTGACTGAATGATGAAACCGGAGGAGGAACTTGGACGGAGAGGGGATCAGAGAGAAAGAGAGGCTGGATTGAATGATGAAACGGAGGAGGAGGAACATGGGAGGGATCAAGAGAAGGAGGAAGGATTGAATGGATGAAACTGGAGGAGGTAAAATCTTGGAGGATAGGAATCAGGAGAGAAGGAGAGGCTGGATGGAATGATGGAACGGAAGTGGAATGGAGGAACGGAGAAAGAGAAGGAGAGAAGGATTGGAATGGATGAAACGGAGTGGAGGAAGGAGAGAAGGAGAGGGAGGCTGGATGGAATGGATGGAACGGAGTGGAAGGTGGAGGAATGGAATGGATAAGAGGAGGATGGAGAATAGGATGGAAGAGGAGTGGAGGAATGGGAGGGACTGGAATGAAGAAACTAAGTGCTGGAAGGATGGAAATCTTGGAGAATAGGGGATCAAGAGAGGAGGAGGGGTTGATTGAATGATGAAACTGAGGAGTGGTGAGGTGTAAATCTTGGAGGATAGGGGATCAAGAGAGAAGGAGAGAGGCTGGATTGAATGATGAAACTGAGTGAGGAGGTGGAAATCTGGAGAATAGGATCAAGAGAGAAAGAGAGAGGCTGATTGAATGATGGAACTGGAGTGAGGTGAGGAATGATGGAATCAAGAGAGATCTTGGAGGTGGATCTTGGAGGATCAGGGAGGAGGAGAGGAGAGAGGCTGATTGAATGATGGAACTGAGTGAGGTGAGGTGTAAATCATGGAGGATAGGGATCAAGAGAGAAAGAGAGAGGGCTGATTGAATGATGGACTGGAGTGAGGTGAGGTGTAAATCTTGGAGGATATGGATCAGGAGAGAAGGAGAGAGGCTGATTGAATGATGGAAACTGGTGAGGTGAGGTGTAAATCTTGGAGGATAGGGGATCAGGAGAGAAGGAGAGAGGGCTGATTGAATGATGGAACTGAGTGAGGTGAGGTGTAAATCTTGGAGGGAATAGGGGAGAGAGAAGAGAGAGGCTGATTGAATGATGAAACTGAGTGAGGTGGTGTAAATCTTGGAGGATAGGGGGAGGGGATCAAGAGATGGAACTGGAGAGGGAGGCTGGATTGAATGATGAAACTGATTGAAGTGAGGTGAGGTGTAAATCATGGAGGATAGGGGATCAAGAGAGAAGGAGAGAGGCTGATTGAATGATGAAACTGAGTGAGGTGAGGTGTAAATCTTGGAGAATAGGGGATCAAGAGAGAAGGAGAGGGGCTGATTGAATGATGAAACTGAGTGAGGTGAGGTGTAAATCTTGGAGAATAGGGGATCAGGAGAGAAGGAGAGGGAGGCTGATTGAATGATGGAACTGAGTGAGGTGAGGTGTAAATCTTGGAGGATAGGGGATCAAGAGAGAAGGAGAGAGGCTGATTGAATGATGGAACTGTTGTGAGGTGAGGTGTAAATCTTGGAGGATAGGGGATCAAGAGAGAAGGAGAGGGAGGCTGATTGAATGATGGAACTGAGTGAGGTGAGGTGTAAATCATGGAGGATAGGGGATCAAGAGAGAAGGAGAGGGAGGCTGATTGAATGATGGAACTGAGTGAGGTGAGGTGTAAGTCTTGGAGAATAGGGGATCAAGAGAGAAGGAGAGGTAGGCTGATTGAATGATGGAACTGAGTGAGGTGAGGTGTAAATCATGGAGGATAGGGGATCAAGAGAGAAGGAGGGAGGCTGATTGAATGATGAAACTGAGTGAGGTGAGGTGTAAGTCTTGGTGTGTAGGGGATCAAGAGAGAAGTTGAGGGGCTGATTGAATGATGAAACTGAGTGCGGTGAGAAGAGGTGTAAGTCTTGGTGTGTAGGGTATCAAGAGAGGAGAGGGGCTTATTGAATCATGGAACTGAGTGCGGTGAGAAGAGGTGTAAGTCTTGGTGTGTAGGGAATCAAGAGAGAAGGAGAGAGACTGACTGGATGATGACATTGAGTGACCTGAGAAGGAGGTATTTCGAGGTAGAAGAGTCAGAGAAAAAGATGCACGGGAGGTTAAATGGTGAGAAGGGCGAACTCTCAAACACCGTAATAAAACGGCGCCGCCACGCCCCCGCCCAAGAGGATGAGAGACAACAACAGAGAGAAAGAAAATGCTCCTACAAAGAAATCTGCAGAGGGACACGCTTCTCTCCTACAGAAGGAAGTAGCGCGTAGTCCAAAACACAGCACTCAGGTGATAACGAGACGCGACGAGCCCGGGAAGGTAGGGTGGCATGCTAACGGAACACCTGTGACACACACACACACCAGGTATCTAGGTCTCCAGTTAGACTGGGGCCGTAATAAATGACTGCAGATGATCGTCGGATAACTGAAGTGGGAGCCTGGGCGACTGGATGTGTTTCGCTATAGGACATCTTCTCCCCCGCGTTAAGCCCCTGCAAACACCACTGTGTACTTTGTCTACCCGCTAATCCCTCTTGCACAAAGGGAGGTTTAACCTGTGGAATATTAAGTTTTCATGTGAAGACTTATAAAATTTACTTAAAATGGTTTTGAATAAATATTTTCGACCGTATTGGAAGTCAGCGTCACGAAAGTTGTAGCTTGATCTGGATTGTGTTATAACAAGATAACGGTACCGAGTTTGCTCTCTTTCAGATTTATATTACCAGCTGAGATAAAAACGTACGAGTATATAAATATATGTAGATATCAAAGACTCTTAAAGAATTTTTTCCACAAAATATTTGTTTGATCTGATGACGAAATATTTAACATTAAACATGGAATACCTACTAGGTTGACATTTTGCTGAAGTGTTTCTATTACGTAGAAGATATGTGTGTATATCATGTAAATATGCATACACAAATACCGGAGTCTTATCAATGAAATTTATTTAGATGTATGCGAGGGATAAATAGATATACATTGGATGTAAATAACTGGAGAATGCTTGCTCTTTTAGGAGACATTCTACAAATATTTGTGATGCCAGGTAAAGGATATTTACTTGACATAATCATAGAGTGGGTGAGTAAGTGATTATTGTCGCATCAGCATCGTGCAGCTATTCGTTGCTGATGAGATGCTGGCTACTGTATATTGTATTGTAACTTGTATACTCATGACAGTCAGAACCAAGGTGTATGAATCTTGACGTGAGTGAGTTGTCAAGCAATAGGTGAATAAGGCTTCATGCCACGACCCATATTATTGCATTTGACTAAGAGATCCTACAAAACAAGAGTAAATGATGTAATGGAGAGTGGAGTTCCGTTCGGTAGGTCTTCCAAGGCGGTCTACAGAATAGACACCATAGATTGGTGTTCACCAGGTGAACCTGTCCTAAATGAATCGATTCAGATTCACCAATACATGACCCCACCAAAAAGTTTAATCAGGAACTGGTTTCTCGAATTATCTCACGAGATGGGATTAAACGAGAACAGGTTTATCAATAAATGATCCCTCCAAGAATAGATTCATCATTACAAGGTTCATCAAGATATGATCCCTCAGATGTGATCCTTCATCAAGAACAGCTAGGTTCATCAATAAAGGATCTTTCAATAATGCAAATCGCCAAAAAACATTTCTTGAGGGATTATTTATTGAAAGAATTGTTTTTGATGAATATTGTTTGTGGAATCACTGGGTGGATGAGTTCTGGATTGATCACCTCTAAGGGGACCATTAATTCACGAAACTGTTCTGAATACGATTTTTGTGGGGACCAATAGATGAACCAGTCCCTTATCTCACTTCAGGTCATTTATTGATAAACCTGTTCTTGATGAACAAGTGCTTATGTGTTCAGAAGCGCTTCTGCTGCAAATCAGCCCGTTTGGCAAATTCAGGTACATTATTTACAAGTGTGGCATTATATTTGAGGTAGAAAATTTGACAAGAATGTACTTATAGACTGAATTGAAAAGTTCAGAAACATCAGCGCCACTTGACGTTAAGTGCCACAATGCTTAGACTCCAGGTTTGAAGAACTTGATGACGTCGGAATAGTGGTGTGTCCATTAAAACTTGCTTCAGTTTCTCCAGGGATGTCAGGTTTAATAATGCTTACAGAACGTATGCCAGCGTGAGTTTATTAATTCTCGTTGACGTCATGTAAGTATAATGGCAAAAATGATAATTTTGGTACTTAAAGCAATCAAATCTTCGCTAATCCCCGAATGCGCTCTTTCAAGCTACTTTAAACCAATGCCACACCGCAAAAAGGTGATAGATTTGTGATTTATAAAAAACTTTTCAGTTTTTGTCACCATCTGGTTCATATACAAGCTTGATGTCAGAGTTTGTTAATTTAACTGATAATAGAGCTAATATGATAACGATGACTTATGAGCTAAAATGATAAAAGTTCATGATAATTATGAATGAAAAATTGTTATATGAAATCGGGTAATATTCCCAAAGCTCTATGTTGTGCCCAAGTTGAAAATTAAAATAGCCCCACAAACAAATTCTAATTCTAATCAGCGACATAAGGCCTATGTTAAGTCTGTGATCTGAGAGATGAACATGAT